AGAGGAGGAAAACCAAGGGAGCAGTCAATAAAAGAATGGGGTTCTAAAAAGCAGAGCACCTGCCAGAGTTTGGTTAAGGTGCTTAGGGCAATGGAAAGGCCAGCAGGCTTGAGCAGAGGGATGTTATCAGGTTGGTCTTTAGAAAAGATCACTTTGGCTACAAATAGTGCAGGTGGAGATGGCAAATTTGGGTACAGAGACACAGTGGAAGACAAGGCTAGAAATGAAATTACAGTTAGAGTAAGGAAATGTTCAATGCCAGGAGGAGATGTCTAAGCCTTGGTCAGTGTTCAAAAGGAATGGAATCAAAGGGTTTGGAACAGGAGAGTCCTTTCTCAGGCTCATTGGGAACTGGAGAGCCAGGAGCATTGATAGGGCTCATGTGGCCACACCTGACACTGCCTCGGTTGAATGCTGAGACAATGTTTTCCCAAACTGACCACAAAAGTCACCTGGGGTGCTCATTAAAAATGCTAATTCTCAAACTCAGATCTCCTGAATGTGAATTTTGAAAGGAGAAACCTGGGAAGCTGTATTTTTACTATTGTTTTCTACACTGCTGCAGGAGATTCTCACAGTCATGGCAAGTTTTAGAAAATACTGATCCATACATTTAAAAAAAATCAATGTCTAGGCAAGCAAAAAACAGAATAGGATATAATATAGAAGCTATCCTGGAATATGAGTTCCCTTTTCTTCTAGTTAACAATGGTAAGTGTCCATGGATAGATCACACACACACACACGCACGCGCGCGTGCGCGCGCGCGCGCACACACACACACACACAGGAATATTACTTAGCCATAAAAAAGGATGGGATCTTGCCATTTGTGACAACATGGATGGACCTAGAGGGTACTATGCCAAGTGAAATAAGTCGAACAGAGAAAGACAAACCCCATATGATTTCACTTATGTGTAGAATCTAAAAAACAAAACAAATGAAAAAACAAACAAAAAGCAGAAATAGACCCACAGATACAGAGAACAAAATGATGGTTGCCAGAGGGGAGCAGATGTGGGGGATGGGCAAAATGGGTGAAGGGGACTAGGAAATATAGCCTTCCAGTTATGGAATGAATAAGTCACAGGGATAATTTATAATGAACTTATCCATTCATCTGTTGATGGACACTTGGATATATTATGATCACTTTTTTTTTAGTTTATTTATTTAAGTAATCTCTATATTCAGTGTTGGGCCTGAACTCATGACCCCAAAATCAGGAGTCACATGTTCCACTGACTGAGCCAGCCAGGCATCCCTACTATGTTCACTTTTTAAAAGTTGTTTTTACCTGTTCTTGTTTCAAGAGAACCACTAACCTATTTCAGCCTGTGCCTGTTCACAAGAACACAAAGATAGTTATACTTTAGGATAGCTCCTATATTATATCTTATTCTGTTTTGCTGCTTGCCTAGACATTGATTGAAAAAAAAAAAGCATGGATCAGTATTTTCTACAACTTGCATGACCGTAAGAATCACCTGCAGCAGTGTAAAAAAACAAAAGTAAAAACAGCATAAGGAATATAGTCAGTGGTATTGTCATAGTGTTATATGATGACAGATGGTAGCTAGACTTGTGAGCATAACATAACATTTAGACTTGTCAAATCACTATGTTGTGTCCCTGAAACGAATGTAACATTGTGTTAACTTACACTTGAATTAAAAAAAAACAAAAAACGTGAACATGGTATAATAAGAAAATAGTAATGGGTGTGTCTAATATTGGTTTTTGGCATCTATGGCATTGGCACTGAAGAAAAGTAGGTACAATTCTAGGTAGATCTGAGAACATCTGTTTCCCAGGGCTGCCATAATAAGTTACCACAAAATTGGTGGCTTCAAACAACGGAAATTTATTCTGTCACAATTTTGGAGGCCAGAACTTTAAAATCAAGGTATTGGCAGAGCTGTGCTCCTTCTGAAGGTTCTAGGGGAGCATCTTTCCTTGCCTCTTCCAGCTTGTCTGGTGGCTCCATGTGTTCTTTGGTTTGGGCCTTCCCATGCTCCAATCTCTGCCTCTGTCTGTTCACATGGCCTTCTTTTCCAGGTGTGTTTCCTCTCTTTCTGTTTCTTATAAGGACACATATCATTGGACTTAGGATCTACTGGTTTAATCCAGGATAACCTCATCTAGAGATTCTTAATTGAATTGCAAAGACTCATTTTCCAAATAAGGTCATATTTACAAGTACCAGGGTTTAGGTCTTGGACATCCCTTTTTGGGGGGAAGAATGGGTTCACAATTCAACCTACTAAGCCGAGTGATTTAAAGTTGTTGAGCAGGCCCATATGATGTTCCTATTCACATCAGTGTATTTAGAGGGTGTTTTTAATATAAATGCTCCTAGCTCAATGTTCCTCAGAATGACAGAAGTTTATTTACGAATGAATTCACTCTTCTGAGTCATATCCATTTTTAGTAGCACGACTTTGTCATTTCAAACTAAGATATAGTATTAAAACGTTACCTGTAGTAGACAAAATCACATTCAGACAATGACATTGCAAACAATTTTGTACCATTTTAAGAAAGAAAATTTCTAAGCATGAAGATAGGTACATCTATTATAAAAAGAGCAATATGGAGGAAACCAAACTATTACAGTGATTTCTCCTGATATTCCCCTTGGCAAGTGTCAATGAATCAAGTTTTATTGTAGTTAGAGTTTTAACAGAATAGTTTGTTTTCCCAGGGCAGAAGACAGGGATAGATGATATTGCAAGGATATGTAAAGTAGTTATTAGAAACAGTAATAGTGGTACACATATAGATATATGATGAGGAGTCTATAGTTAATTAATGAACATCAGGCACTCACAGACACAGGAAAAAAATAGTACTTTGGATGGGTACAAAGACAGGATGGATACATAAAGCAGTGTAGGGTAGGAACCACAGTAATAACTAAAGGAAAAAATTGATGATTGCTGCATAATTGGGAAACTCAAAGCAGAAGATCTAAACAGAAGTATTTCCCTAAGTTATATCCACCACAAGTTTCACAAATTCTTTAGGGAGAATAGACTGACATTAATAGAGGAACTTAATAATATTTGTAGAAATTTACTGGTGTATTTATATATATTTCTATTTTGCTTAACTTTTTAAAGTGTATGGTATCCATTCTTCAGGGTGGGCTCAGTTCTTGAGAACTAAAAATCCTCTGTTCTTATTAAACATTCCCAGCTATTTATTAAAGAAGAGGAGAGATCAAGAATGACATCTCAACTGGCCAGACCCAAATAAAACTTCAGTCAAGATCCTGGTTGCGAGGATCAGTGGACTGATTAAGTAGCAACCTTAGAAAATGACACCTGGGGGCACCTGGGTGGCTCAGTCGGTTAAGTGCCTGACTCTTGGTTTCAGCTCAAGTCATGATCTTGTGGTTTGTGAGATTGAGCCTGCATCAGGCTCTGTGCTGACAGAACAGAGCCTGCTTGGGATTCTCTCTCTCCCTCTCTGCCCCTCCCCTGCTCCCACCCTCTGTCTCTCTCAACATAAATAAATTAACTAAACAAATGGGACTTGGACAAGACTTGCTTCTATCAGAACATGCCATTTGCTTTTATAACACAAACTCTAGTCTCTCTGATCATTTAAATGTCTGCACTACATCTGCAGCTACACTAGTAACACATTTCAGAAATGAATTCTTAAAATGATGACTGATTCCAAAATAGCAAATAAAAATCCATCAAGCTCATCCACCCATCCCTCTCTGTCTGATGCAGTCATAGATACAAACTTCTGTCTTTGCAATAACAGCCAGTGAAATGCAAATACACCATCGAATCTATATTATTGTCTTGCTAATTCTGCTAAACATAATAACATAATTATAAGAAAATGAACTTTCAGTACTGGATAGTTAAATTGTTTAGATTAGTTGACTCTTTTCACCAAGCAGGTGATTACCCCATCTTTCATTTAATTTCACTGTGGCATTTTTGTTTGCTTTCTCTAACATTTTTAACACAGATAATTTAAGTCCAGCCTTCACATTACAAAGGAAAGCTTGAATAAATTCATCCTGTATGTTCTTTTGCACAATCTATACTGATACATCCAGGAGTGAAATATCTCTAGGGATATCTCAATATAAAAAGGGACACCACTTGGGGTACCTGGCTGGCTCAGTTCATGGAGGAGGTGACATTCAATCTTGGGGGGTTGTGAGTTCAAGCCCCATATTGGGCTTAGAGCTTACTTTAAAAAGGTGGGGGGGGGTAGATAGTACTTTTTGTTTTTCAAAGGAAAATTCACATGTGGCATATACTTAAATTCTAGTCATTCAAGCAAAAATGTTAGAAAGCCTCCTACTCCCAGCCTCTGTTAACTGAAATATAAACAGAATTTTAAGAAGGAGGAACCATTCTTTTGTGTCTAATCTAGTAATAGAGGGCAAGTGGTTGAGTCTGATACACTTTGCTATGGATTCTTCAATCTAGGCAATGATTATAAATTTATGCATTTAATTTGAACAGTGATAATTGGGTTGATTGCCAGATGACTCATTTTGTAAACTTTTGGCCATTAGTGTTCCAGCTGGAGTGGGCCATGTGCTGCCTTCCCGCTGACATCACTGGAAATTTTGACTCAAGATCAAAGCTACTTTATGCCTCTCTGACCTTTCTTCACCATGCACAGTGGGACCCGGGTTCTCAGCTCTGAATGTTCAGATTTGTTCCACTGTGCCCACGGGGTTACCACTTGCAGACAACCTACATGTACATATTCAGTAGAGACCCTGAAACAAGCCTACTGGAATTCACGTGTTGGATTCTAGCTTTCAGGTGGCTTCCTAATCCAGATGCCAAATTTCAGAAAATCTTATGTCTGGCTGACTCACTGAGGCTCCAGTGAATAGAGAGACAATCCCAGCAGCATTGAGAGGCAGTGCTCATTTTGCCCCTAGAAGTCTTCCATAGGCTCATTTTCCTCTGGAGACGCCCTTTGAGAACCCAACTAGAGAAAGCATCTCTTACCTTGATAGTCATGTCTGCACTGGATGTTTCTGTGGCATCTGAGGCTGCCTCGTCTCCCTTTAGCAGCACACTTTCCCACCCGAGCCCTGAAAACAAAACAAAACAAAACAAATGCCATTTGAGTCACGCGCATTCAGTTGGCATGGATAGACACCTAACTGACATTTTGCACATTCCTATCCTGTGTGTGTTATAAAGGAAACTGCTGTCGCACCACACAGTTAACCTGCTGGGCCGTTACTGGGAAAGTATACTTTCAAAAGTGGCTAATCAGTAACTCCTTTCTTTTTATCTGATCTCCAACTTTGGAGTCCACTGTTCAAATTCTGTATCTTATAGACAGTTCTACCCTCAGTCCAGAGTGAGAAGAAGTTGGAATGAACTCTTCCAGAATCCAGACCTCATACTGAGGTCTTACTGGGGGCTTAACGTGAATCCCAGGACACAGAAACACACACATCTGAATCTAATTCAACACCCAATAGAACTGACTCCAGATTATTCACTGCCCTAGATTCCATACACATACTGGAAATGACTGAAAGTTTATATTCACTTTTATTTTATTTTTTAATTTAAATTCAAGTAAGTTCACATACAGTGTATTATTGGTTTTCAGGAGTAGAACCCAGTGATTCATCACTTACATATAACACCCAGTGCTCATCCCAACAAATACCCTCCTTAACGCCCATCACCCATTTAGCCCATCTCCCATCCACCTCCCCTCTTTTAAAATCTATATGTTTTCTCCCCAAGTCTTGATAAATGTTAGTGTTCTTTTTTCCTTAAGCTGCCAGATGGTCTCCAAGCATAGACACATGACAAGATACAAGGTTTTGCTCTCTTCACTTCAAAAAGGAGATCAGGGGTTGGTATTTAGAAATACCCATGAACGCAATATAGCCTAACTACACCAATTCAGATGCAATTATGTGTGTGAATCAGGTGGAATGGTCTATATTAAGGAAAAGTTTGAAGTAATGACAAGTGTATTTTTAAAAACAGATTTATTGCAGATAAAGTTATCTTTTTTTAAAAGTCTTTCATTTTTTATTATTTTTAAGTTGATTTATTTATTTTGGGGGTTGGGGAGGCACAAAAAGAAGGAGGGAGAGAATCCCAAGCAGGCTCCATGCTGTCAGCACAGAGCCTGACATAGGCCTCAATCCCATCAACCATGAGATCATGACCTGAGCCTAGATCAAGAGTCGGTCACTTAATAGACTGAGCCACCCAGGCACTCCAAGAGTCATCTTCCTAAAAGCTAAAAAGTAATGCTTAGTAAAGTTTTTAAGGGTCTACTTTAACGAGTAGATACAAATTTTATAATTGGTATAATAACTGCCTGCTGGAATATGAATGCTCACAGCCTAAAGTATTAAAAAGATTGTTTTCTTAAACAGGTTAAAATTGGCTGCATAATATTTGCTTACGTTGTCGATTTTCTTAAGAAGTAATTTTGCCTAAGGGTAACTCAAGGACAATATTCATTCCAAACCTGTGTGAATAGCCCAAATTCCAAAATTTCAATTATCTATCATTATGTTAAATCAGGACTGGCAAACATTTTTTGTGCCACATAGTAAACATTTTAGGCTTTGTGGTCTTGCCATTTCTGTTGCAACTTCTCAAGCTGCCACTACAGAGCAAAATGGACAACACATAAATAGCCAACTGACATCAGTCAACAGCCAACATACAAACAAATGGGCATGGCTGAGTTCCAATAAAACTTTATTTACAAAAACAGGCACTGGGCCAGATTTGGCCCATAAGATGTATTTTACCAGATGGACAGTGATGATGCTTGTACCACTTTGTGAATGTATTTAACGCACAGAACCATATACTTAGAAATGGTTACAATGTGTTATATACATTTTAGCACAATAAAAAAAACATTTTGCTAGGCAATATTCAAATTTCCAGTTTAACCGGTTCTATAATTACCCACTGAGTTGGTATACCATTAATTCCATAGCTATTTCTAAAATGTTGTGTATTTAGGTCATTTCTAATTTCTCATCAGTATAGATAATGCTAAAATGAATACTTTGTCTAAATGCTTTTCTTCTTACGAATAATATCCTTCAAAAGGACTCCTATGCAAAATGTATGCATACTGCTGAGGCTAATGGCACATGTTCCCATATTGCCTTGTAAAACAGTGATGTCAATTTTACGATACCACAACAATGTATAATGTAATAATTGTGTCATCACCATAATTTTTTCAATAGTGCTATTATTAAACAAATTGTGTGGTTGTGGGGAATGATTTCTTAAGCAAGGTGGGGCTACATAAAATATTCATCATAGGAGTCCATATATTTTTATGTATAGTATTATAATGATGCTAATAGATATATAATAGATATATAATAGATAATGTAGCTAATAGATACAATATATAACCAAAGTTATAAATGAAATTCATTTTGTATAGAGCACTTTCATCTTTATGCAAAAGTAATTCCTTTGTTGTATAGAAATTTCATTTACAAGTATTGATTTCTGTATTTCTGTATCGAGAGAGAGAGAGAGAGAGAGAGAGAGAGAGAGAGAGAGAAAGCTGTATATCCAATGTGAGGCTTGAACTCACAACCCTGAGATCAAGAGTTGTATGCTTTACTACCTGAGCCAGCCAGGCACCTCCAATTCCCATATCTTTCCCATGTGGGGAAGAACCTTTTCTCTGCCTTAATCCTTTTGTAGGCAAAACAATTTTTATTAAAGGATATATGGCCATAGGAAAGAGACATGAAACTTAAATATATATGTATTCTCAAAATTTTAGCCTCCAATAAAGAAAACATCCATTTTTCTCCCTAAAGTAAGCTCTACACCCAATGTGGGGCTTGAACTTGCTACCCTGAGATTAAGAGTCACATGCTCTACCAACTAAGACAGCCAAACACTCCAAGAAAACAGTTAAAATTAGATAACCTATCATTTCATGGCAAGAGTAAGAGAAAATAGACCTAACATTTTAATTAAAAGTGTTATTAATCCTAACAATAAGTTGTGAAAAGAGGAAACTGTTAATTTAAAAACTAGAGGCAAAATTCTTTCCAGGGAGAAAACTGAGTCTTGGAGAAAAAGAAATTTTATGGATCATTTGGGTATGATGGATCCCACATCATGGAAGTAGGAGTAAAAGGAAGACATCCATTTAGAAGAAGGAGAGAACTTGAAAGAAGCTGGGACAAGAATCGACAGTAAGAAATTTCCAAAGGTGATAAAAAGGACTTTGGGGAACCATGATGTTTAAACATCAATTTTAAATTACTTATCATGCTGTGGCATGACATAAGTCCCCTCAGTCTCATACCTTGAGTGGAGAGCTGTTCTACACAATTGTCCTGTGTCGGTGTTTGGTGGAAATAGAATGAGGACTTCAGGGTGGAGGGAAGAGAGTGGCCATGTGCACCAGGGAGCTCCCTGCAAAAGTGAAATCTGAGGAGGATATGATGATAAGAATCTGGGACAGGGTATTAGACCTGCATATACAAGACAGAGTTCAAATTTTATTTGAACACCAAAGGGCAGCAGACCTTCTCTACCTGAGGACTTGGAGATGCAAAGTGACCAACACTTCTTTACAGGAGGATGCTTATACATGTGAAAATGCCACTTCTATTTCCACAGTGGTGATTTCCATACCACCAACGTGTAAATGCGTTGCACCACAAATAGGCAGGGGGATAGCCTAGAATGCTTGTTTGAGATCCTTCCACTCTACGATTTTATCAATGACTGTCAACATATGCTTTCCTGCCCAAGTTCCTGAGACAAATTTCCACTCAACTAAGGCCAATGTTTATAACAATAGCACAAACATTTAAAAGGTCAGATGTATAACTGCAACAGACAAGACATTCCAGACTGATGTATTTCTATTATTAGTCAGTTTTGTAGGCACAATCACCTCTGATTTCAGAAGAACCTCTACAAAGAATTTGACCTAAGAATTTTGATAATTAATAAATATATATACGCACACATATATACTATTTTACATATTACATTTCTATACAGTCTGCTTTCTTTTTTTTAATATTTTAGAGAGAGAGAGAGAGAGAGAGAGAGAGAGAGAGAGAGAGAGAGAAAGCAGAGAAGAAGGGAAGAGGAAGAGAGAGAGATAATCTTAAGCAGGCTCCATGCTCAGCACAGAGACTGACATGGGGTTCAATCCCATGATGCTGGGATCATGATCCGAGCTTAAATCGAGAGTTCGATGCTTAAACATCTGAGATACCCAGGTGTCCCAGGGACACTTTTATAAAGATCTTTCAGGAATAAGTAAAATTCAGACAACTAGTTGTTGCTTTTTACACATCTTCTCACCTAGCTGCACAGTCATATGAAGAAATCCATTAGCCCAAGCATCCAGTTTCCTAAAGCCCACATCTCTGATCTCAATTCATAGGATGCACTCCACTAACTGCACAGCCCCTCTTTGATTTCTGTTGGGAACAGCACATGTGCAGTTGACAGGGCAGTGCAAGCAGAAGGAAGGAGGCTGAGCTCAGGGTCTGGATGGAGAAGCCAAGGCCACACATGAGGATCTGCAAGCTGAGAGATTTGGGCTGGTAGCAGGGTAGCCATGAGGGCTTGAGTATAGTAACCTGTAGACAACATGGCTTTTGTGTTTGAACAAAAGGAGATAAGACTAGACGAAACAAAGAAGAGGACAAGCAGCTAAGAAGGCTTGTTGGGGAAGCAGCCAATGGCACAGGTGAGAACCCTGAGTGACTTCCTTATTTCTGATTCTGGTTAGTACTAAAAAATAAATAAAAGTAAAAATAAAAATAAGAGACCAAGAGGGAGAGGGTAGCACTGTATGGGAGGGCGCTGGCCATACCTAGACCCCCTGGAACCACTGTGTGTTGCTAGGTGAAAGCAGGGTAAGAAAGACAAGTCAATATGGACCCAAACATGCACGAGAATGGAACTTTGCTCCAGCTCATCTATCCACATAGATTTTAGATAGATCTTGGACAAAGTGGGTCATTGGTGCTGCTCACCAAATATTTCCAGTTCTTTCCTCTTGTGGACACGTAATAGAACTTCACTTCCTGGC